AGACACAGAACCTATAATTAAATTAAAAGTTTTAAATGCCTGAAATTTAGAGTCAATAGAAGCAAATCTATGTACTATATCTCAATTCATCACTTTTAAGGCATTAAAATATCAAAAGATTATAAGGGATTAGGTCTATTGTCATGGCCACATCCTGCAGTTGTCCTCATGTCCTTACATTGTCTGCATGGAACCCTTCAGAAGCTTGATAACCACATCCAGCTTGATTACCATATCATAATTCTAGGCCTATTGCATAACTGATCCCTTTGTAGTCTCTTCTATGTACAGCTCCTGGGGGTCAGCAGGTCTCCATTTTTCCTATTATTTTAGGACTGAATATTGCAATTCTGCCCTGTGAGACCAGGACCCTGAATTATCCTGAATATGAACCATTTTTACCCTGCAAGTCTGACTGAGTTTGGGGACTTGGAGTTCTTTCCTTTTGGGAAGTCTGTGATTAGTGGTAAATAATGACTAGAGAGCCTTCTTAAAACAAATCAGAATTTATTTCTCAAGTAAAAACCAAGCTTTCAGAGACAAAATCTTTCAACAGATTGGTTTTACCACCCACTGATGGTAATCTAGGTAGCCTTAACTTCTTCAGAAACCCCTAATGGAGTGTTATGTGTCAGTCTGGTTTTCCCAACAACTGTCACCACCCTCTCATGAGATCATCACTTTTTAAACCTAGGTATAATTTTTTATTCCTTCATGTTCATAAGCAGGGTTCAAATTATACTTGGACTCTTGAGGTGGTCTGCCTAAAAAATTTGGTTGCCCATCACAATGCCCTAATAAAATCATAGACTCCCCAGATTATGATTTTCAGGTCTTACAGGGGGGTTTTTATTTCTTATGGGGGGGGGCTCTGCCCCCACAAGCTTCCCCCCTAATTCAAACCCTGTTAATAAGCTTTTTATTTCTAGTTCTGGCATTGCCATTTAACTCTCAATTATTTGTGAGGTGATCATTTTGAACCATTCATTTCTTTCAGACTATCCCCATACTTCCAGACTGTCCCTATTAAGTTAATCTAAGATATTCATTCAAAAAGCGGAGCAGTATGTAGTATTCATAAATAGTTAGAAAATAGTCCTTGTACAGAAGAGTATCTGTCACCCCTATAGAAAAGTTAGATTTTTGGGAATAAGGTCAGGTGCATGAATTGAACACCTCTGTTCAGATTCCAAGTATTTTTATTTATATTTAACTAATACTTGACATGTTCACCTTTGGTGAGTTTGTATAATAGCCAAGTGTCAATTGTTCCAAAGCAGCAGTTATTTTCTTTGGCAGCTTGGTGTACCTGAAAAGCAAAACAAAAAATTCTGTATAATATAGAGAGAGGAATGCATTCTCTCTTTTCCTTACCCTTCTCCAAATATTTAATTGAGTAATAATACTACAAGTGTCTCCAGAAAATTCTGCAATTGCCAATGTTTCTTCTAGGAAGGGTGGATTGGTCATTGGAAGCTCTTGTATAAATTTTATTTTCTAGGTCAGTGTGCTGTCCCCCATCCAAACAGGTCTTTCTGTGGTGTATATGCCATTTCATGTCTAGGGCTGCCAACCTTACTCAACCTTTCTCAAAAAGTTGAATTAATAGGGGAAATCAAACAAAGCCCTAGAAAGGGTAAACCTAGATATTTTAAAAATCAAAGTTAGTGAAGAGAAGGAATCAAGAATTGCAAGTATGGCAGAAGACTAGCTTGGTTTAGCTGGGAACTCCTCAGTAAACTAAATCACAGCAAGGAAGCTTATAAGAAGTGGAAATTTGGACAAACAACTTGGGAAGAATATAGGAGTATTGCTTGGGCATGCACGGATGAAGTCAGGAAGGCCAAAACGCAATTGGAATTGCAACTAGCAAGGGATGTGAAAGGGAACAAGAAGGGTTTCAACACATATGTCAGTAACAATCAGGGAAAACGTACATCCCTTACTGAATGTGGAAGGCAACCTTGTGACAGAGGATGCAGAAAAGGCTGAAGTGCTCAATGCCTTCTTCACCTTAGTCTTCACAGGCAAAATCAGATCCCAGACTACTGCACCCGGCAGAACAGTTTGAGAAGGTAAGAAGCCCTCAGTGGTGAAAGAACAGGTTAGGGACTACTTGGAAAAACTGGACGTATACAGGTCCATGGGGCTGGATGGGATGCACCTGAGAGTACTGAGGGAGCTAGCTGATGTGACTGCAGAGCCATTGACCATTATCTTTGAAAACTCATTGCAATCAGGAAAGATCCTGGGTGCTTGAAAAAGGGCAAACATAGTGTCCATATTTAAGAAGGGAAAAAAGGAGGATCCAGGGAACTACAGCCCAGTCAGCCTCACCTCAGTCCCTGTAAAAATCATGGAGAAGATCCTCAAGGAAGCTATTTCTATTTCTAAGCACTTGGAGAAGGGGGGGATTAGGAACAGTCAGCATGGATTTACCAAGGACAAGTCATGCCTGACCAACCTAACTGCCTTCTATAATGAGATGACTGGCTCTGTGGATGCAGGGAGACTGGTGGATGTGATGTACCTTGATTTTAGGAAGGCTTTTGACACCGTCTCCCACAACTTTCTCACAGGCAAGCTAAGGAAGTATGGGCTGGATGAATGGACTGTAAGGTAGATAGATAACTGGCTGGAGCATCCAGCTCAGAGGGTAGTAATCAATGGCTCAATGCCTAGTTAGCAGCTGGTATCAAGTGGAGCCCCCCAGGGTTTTGTTTTGTTCAATGTCTTCATCAACAACTTGGAAGATGAGATGGAGTGCACCCTCAGCAAGTCTGCAGATGACACCAAGCTGGGGAGAGCATTAAATATGCTGGGGGATAGGGCTAGGATTCAGAGTGACCTAGACAAATTGGAGGACTGGGCCAAAAGAAATCTCATGAGGTTCAACAAGGACAAGTGCAAAATCATGTACGTGGGACGCAACAATCTCATGCCAGTACAGGTTGGGGGCTGACTGGCTCGGCAGCAGCTTTTCAGAAAAGGGCCTGGGTGTTACAGTGGACAATAAGCTAAATATGAGTCAGCAGTGTGCCCTTGTTACCAAGAAGGCTAACAGCATACTGGGCTGGATTGGTAGGTGTGCTGCCAGTAGGTCAAGGGAAGTGATTATTCCCCTCTATTTAGCACTGGTGAAGCCTCATCTGGAGTACCATGTTCAGTTTTGGACCCCGCACTACAGAAAGGATGTGGACAAATTAGAGAGAGTCTAGCAGATAGCAATAGAAATGGTGAGGGGGCTGGGAAATGTGCCTTATGAGGAAAGACTGAAGGAACTGGGCTTATTTAGTCTAGAGAAGAGGAGATAGAGGGGATTTATTAGCAACCTTCAACTATCTGATGTGAGGTTTGAAAAAGGATGGAGCTAAATTATTCTCAGTGGTGGCAGATGACAGAACAAAGAGCAACAGTCTCAAGTTGCAGCAAAGGAAGTTTAGGTTAGATATTAGAAAGAATTTTTCTCACTAGGAGGGTAGTAAACCAGTGGAACAGGTTACCCAGAGCAGTGGTGGAATCTCCATCCTTGGAGGTTTTTATGACCTGGCTAGACAAAGCGTTAGCTGGGATGATCTAGTTGAGGCTGGTCCTGCTTTGAGCAGGGGGTTGGATTAGATGACCTCCTGAGGTCCCTTCCAACCCTAACCTTCTATGAATCCAATAAGTGCTGATAAAAGGAAAAAAGTCTGGTAGATATGAAAAAAATATAAAAGGAATAATACAAACACCTAACAAAAATACCTTTGTCAAAGGCAGCAAATAGAGCTATACTTTTCAGCTTCATGATGTACAAGTCTGAAAATGTTATCTTCTCTATTTTTCTTTAAAATTAGAAATTTAGGTTTTGGCTATTCCATTTCTACTGACACAATGCACAATGAAAACTAGTAGGAAGCAAAACAGACCAATACAAGTAGAACCTAACTGAGTGGGACAATATTTTTAGATGGCACTTTTGAGTTTTGCTTAGGATTTTCATTTTTATTTTTGTGTTTTGATTTTTTAAAACCAAAAATTAAGGAAGCTGTGTGAGGAAAAAGGTCTCCTATTGAAGATTCAGGACTCTCATATCCTTCAATTAAAGGTTTTGAACAGATTTTTAGAAAATTCTCTCCGGTCTTCTTTGATCATTGTAAAAAACAAACACACCCAAATTCTCTCTCAAAAAAAATCCTGAAACTAAACAGGGTGAAATTAAGTAAAAAGAAACGCAAAGATGAATGAAGTAAGTAAAATAGAAAAGAAAAGGACTGAATCAAAGACAAAATGAATTAACATACTATAAAAATGTGATGCAAGCAACGTATGATGTTAAACAAATGCCCAAGTTTACATTTACATAATATTAATCAGACACTTAAAATTAAATAAAAGTGGGGTAAACAGTAGCCCTTGTTTGGTAAGCATTAAGTTATTCATTTTGACATGCTTTACGTTGGACTGGAAACACAGTAGTGCAAGATAAAATATAAATATTCCTTGATTGTTATACAATAACTTTGTTACAACATTTTCTTTATACTTTAAAAAAAAGTACAATCAAATGATGTTATACAACAGGGCTATCTAACTCGCTACATGTCCCTGTAGCCACCATGGTCATGCATGGGAAAGGTCCTGGAGGGGGCAGCATGGCACCTGTGAGGCAGGGAACAGCCTGTGTGGTGAGATGAAATCACAGGGGGGCCATACACCACCACAAGCACTGTCTATGGCAGGGGGCAGAGAAAAATCCCAGAGGTCTGCCTCCGGAGCATATAATCTGTGTGGTGGGCAGCCTTTGGCCACACTGAAGATGAACAGCCCTCTTAACATTAATGGGAATAAGTCAGAAAGTTCAACTTGTTATATGAATACGTTTGAGCTTTGCTGGACTACTTACATCAGTAAAATTATATGCCCACATATTTGCACAAATCAGAAGCAAAGATTATATCATATGCACACATTGACAAATATGAACTAGATCACAAATTAACATTGGCACCACATATATATATTAAATTATACCTAAGTGAAACAGACTCATACTCCATTTTTTTAAGATAGGAAAACAAAATAAACAAGTCACTATTATGCTCTGAGATCTGTTACCTTCTCCTCCTATAGTATTCTTACCTCAGTTATGTTTTGGAAAATCCAGGACAGTTTCAAAGAGCTGTGATGTGTTGAGAAAGTAAACAAGCTTGCAGCTAAATATCGAGTACTCTGAGTCAAAAAATGAAGCATTGTAAAAATAATATGAAGCACCTGTTCCAAAAGGAGCAAAAAATATTATTTAATTAAAATACTTGGTTTTCTCTATTTAAATACTATGGTTGAATGTCATTTAAAGATCATGTACATAAATCCACCATATAAAATGATGAGACTGTCTTTAGGAGGGGTGAGGATTCAAACTCCTAGTAAATTCTAGCAGAAAGAATTTAGATCTAGGATTGAGAGAAAGAGTTGCATTAAACCAAATCTACATAACTGACTACTGCTGGCATAACTACACTGATCACAGGTATGAAAAAGGTATGATTTCTGTTCAACACATCTGTGCTTGCAAAAGCATAGAGGCAGTTAGGAGCAAAACTGTGCTTTTACCCATAATTCTTGCTCTATTCAAGGGACAGTTATATTTTATCTATACAAATTCTTGCATTTTTGGTATAGCTATGTCCACATTAGAATTCCTTACTGGCAAAACATGATAGTAGCCCTATACTAGTAGAAGCAGTTCTAGCAAAAACAGTCTCAGTCCCATTTCACAGAGACAGGAGAGATAGGTTATATGAACTATCCAGGGAAACTCAAGGGGTATCTGTTGTGGCAAAGCCAGGAATTTAACATCTTACTCTTCTCGTTATGAAGTTTAGCAGTGAGCTGGCTTCAGTATTTCTACTTAAAATAAGGCATGAACTTCCTTTTTTAAGTAAAAAAAAAAAAAAAAAAAAAAAA